TATGAAAGCTAAAAAGAAACATGATTGTTCCTAACCAGAAGAGGCACATCACCCACCACAACCAAACACAAAACAGGAAATATGACCAAAGATACGAGGAAAGTTTTGGAAGTAGGATAAGACAAGATAAATGACATGGCAAAATGATATCCATGATATATGAAGTGAGATCAGTAGAGAAAAACGGAGACTTGTTGAGATAAAAACGGTCAAATGATCACTATCTCTTGGGGGTGAAAAAAGACTACTATAAAAGTGTCCATTGCATTAATTAAAAGCTCATTTGAGGTTCAATATCACACATTTGACATGAGATCAGTTAGCAACTGGATGCATGATATTCTCCAACAATGCTCAACCTTTCTGTCCCAGGTGTGGTGTACTGCAAAAGGAAGTGATGACACCGAAAACATAAGTTTCTATCTCTCCTGGTTCTGAAGGCTTCCCATGCACAGCCATTCTTTTTGGATTAAACTCCGCCAAACTTAATTTGGCTAAAGCATTCTTTTAACCAAAAAGAGAAGGGAAACAGTTAGTGTTAGAAGTTCCAGAGACTATGGTGATTGCTGATTCAGTCCAACAACTATCTACATTATAGACTCCCCCCCCCCCCCCCGGAGAAAGATTGGAATATCTCTATAGGAGGCAGAGCAGTGGGCAGCATGGATCCAGATTGCAGTCACCAAGAATCTTTTAAAACCACATTTGCTTACACTTCAATCATGCTGAGCATAGTACCACAGGGGAAGTATGAGTCCAATGCTGAAATTTTCTGTGTTCGTGAACATTTTACTGATAAGAATGTATCAAACCAGAAGATGAAATGAAAAAATAAATTGTGAATGACTGACCTAGTTCATAAGCACCAAAATGAAGGGATAATCCTGAGAACACAACGCAAATGTCAGTAATTCCTTTCTGGGTGAATTATAAAGCTGTCAGACCACAAGAGTTGAGATTTTAAGGGCATGATTTGTTCTGTGACAAATAAGAGGTGTTTCCCAGAGTTAGATGGAAAGATCCTCAGGGATTATTAAAGATCCAATTGATGTTGAAAGTCAGACATGGCACAAATCATCATCTTCTTCTTCTCCCTCTCTCTTTTTGAGTACTGTTCTGTCTCTGTTCTTAAGAACATGAAAAAATTTACAAAGTCTGCTTTTCACCTTGGAGGTCTTCCTGCTATATCTGGCAGAAAGATCGAAGGATGGAAATGCTGAAGACCCTGTCAAAGAACAGATGTTCTTTGGACATATGGGACCACAAATGTTGAGGGGAGAGAAAGAACGCTAGGTAATATGGGCAGAAATGCAAACACAGCCAAAATTCTGGACTGGTCAGGGTGGTAGAAATCCAGACACAAGAGACATGACAGTGTTAGAGGTTGTGGACATGTAGCCTGGCATACAAGCTTCCTGGGAAGGAATTAGAAGCTTTGGTCATTACTCACTGTGGGCTGACCCAGGAAGTTCATTTTTCAGTCTTTCAAGGAAGGGAGGGAATTGACTATTAAGTTACCACTTTGAAGTTGAATTGGTATTGGGGCATATGGGGCTTGACCTGGTCAACTTAGTATCTCATGGTTTTAATTTATTTGGTAATTTTAAATACCTCTCTATGGGAATGCAAAGCAAATTTTCTTTCCTTTCCCACCAATATAATTAAAAGAGACAGGATGAAAGGGCCCACAGATGGATCATGTTATGCCTTGCCAGAGTATGGGATCAGGATATGAAGTAAGTCCAAATAATTGCAGCAATTGATGGCCCCAACAGAGAATATGCCTGACAATTAAAAGTTCTGAGAAGCCTGCAGTGCCACTGGAGAGACCATAAAAGAGAATTAGGTTATGAGTACACAGTCAAGCAAGAGCTTGTTTGAAGTTGGGTAATCCCTAACCTTGTATAGATGAGCAGGCCCCTCCTGACAGCTGTTAAATTTTGTATTCCACAAGACTTCCTCAAGGTTTTGGTAACATTTTGAAACCATGAATTATAAGCACACACCTTGAAAGCTTCCCCTTCTCACTGTACAGATCCTCCAGTGCAGGAGGAAACCTTGACACCACATGTGGAAACAAGAAGAACAGCCCATAAACTTGAATTTGTAAGCACATTAGGAGTGTTGTTCCCTTGAAGAGCCATGAATTCATTGAGGTGATCACCAGTGATGGATGTGCTTGGCAAGAGTAACCTTTTGCTTTCTATGGGCTATAAACCACAACTGGAAAAGACATCTGGAAACATCTGGCCTCTTCTAGAATAATACCATCACAGTGTGTTTCTAGACATACTCATGGAGCCTCCAATCATTCTGGGTCTCACATATAAAAATTCTTAAGAGAAGGTACTATTTTGATACTTATGTATTATTTTTGCCTAGTAGAGTGATCAAATTTTATCACTTTCTTTTTCATTTTATCCTTATTTGTCAAGTATTCGGGAATGCATGTTTAAATGTCTGTCACCTTTGTTGGTTGGGGCTGTCCCCAACCAACTTTATAGACTATTTCTATTGCCCTTGGCTATTCCCTGTCCCCCAGAAGTGGAGGCCATGTACTTGAGACAAACTCAGAGGGCTTTGAGCTGAATCTGACTTGAAAGATTAGTTTTTGTAATATCCAAGAGTGACATTAAGACTTCTAAAGCAGGGAAGCAATCACCCTACCTGTGAACCACAACAATGACCAATGTGGGACAATAACTCTAAGGGTACAGCAGTAGTACACATACTTTGGCAGTAACCAACAGCTCTTTATTTGGATTTAAAACCCCTTCAACAAGAAGGAAATCATGCCTGGTGCTGGAAACCTAGCCAACTACCTAGGACTAGTGAAATCATCTTGGAGGAAAACTTACAACCACCACTTTTCTAAACTAGCACTGACTACATTCTAAATATTTGTTCTTATACAGACAGATAAGTATATTTCTTTTGCCTCCTTAAGGAAACCTCTGTTTGCAACAGACAGGGACCACTACAGAAAACAACAACTAATCAAATGAGTTATGGAACCCAGTCTCAACTGTTATATCTACAACATAACTCATTCACTCAAGGTTCAGGGATCATTGCAGGATAGAGGGCAGAAAGACTGTAAGAGTTATATCAGGGTGTTTGATATGAGATTGTTTCTCTTAGGAATACCAGAGAAAATACACCCATGAAGTCTCACTAATATGGCTGACTAAACATGACCTGAACAGTGATGACAATAATAGACATGTTTACATGGATGGGGGTAGGAGAAGGTCAGGAGACCTCAAACCTAGTGTCTTAGTTAGGGTTTCTATTGCTGTGAAGAGACACCATGGCCATGGAAATTCTTATAAAGGGTTAGGGTTAATTGGGGTGGCTTAGAGTTTTAGAGGTTTAGTTCATTATCATCATGGCATGACATGGATGTATGCAGGCAGACAAGGTGCTGGAGAAGGAGCTGAGAGTTCTACATATTGATCCTCAGGCAGTAAAAGTCTGTCCCACTTGACCTGGTTTGAGTGAAACTGCCTCCACAGTGGCACACTTCCTCCAACACAGCCACACCTCCTAACAATGCCACTCCCTATGCCAAACATTCAAACACATGAGACTATGGGGGTCATATGTATTCAAACCACTGCACCAAGACAGAGAATTATAGGAAACCAAGGAATGCTGAGAATGGTCTTCCCCAGGGAAGAGCACACCAAATAATTATCCAATATTAAACTTTCAGACCTGAAACAACACTGTAGACTAAACAAGTTTTATTTGTGTATTTAAGAATGTGTGTGTGTAACTACAACTAAAAGCCATGAATTTGAAAGAGAGCAAAGTGGGTACATGAGTGAATCTAGAGGTAGGAAAGGGGTGATGTAACTTTATTACAATCTCAAATTTAAAAAAAAAAATGCCTCCCTACTAAGCTCCTCAAGAAGCAAAGCAAATATCCATGTCTGTGACCCTCATATGGAGCTGAGTGTGTTCACACCTTCCTCTAGAAGCAATAGCACCCATAGGAGACTAGTTTTTCATAAGAAGGAGCTTTTCCCCCAGCATTGTAATGATAAGAGAAGATTAAAAGTACCTCAAATATTCACCAACTTAATACTAGTAGAAAAATTGATAAGCCTATGCAGAATAGTACTTAACTTCCAAAAGAATGCAATAGTTCTACAAGAAGTGATCTAGAGGGATGCCCACAAAATATTGCCAATAGAGAAGAGCATTAGCAATGTACAAAATGTCCTTTCAAATTGTGGAAATCAACAATGTGGACAAATGAATGTATTTAGAACTGTGGAGAAGTGTTCATCAGGCTGTAATAAGAGTTAATTCAGGATGACGAGGAAGTAACAGAAAGGAAGTATGGGAGGGGCTGAATAATGACTGCTAGGAAATGCAAGCATACTCAGGCCACACTGGCAGGGAGAAATGCACAATGTATGTTTACGGAAATACTTTTCAAAGATATGTACACATTTTTCAGTCTTACTGGTTGCTGCTGGGCATGGCTCCTAAGGTTTTAATTAGAGTACCTCACTTTTGGCCCTCACAAAGCTTGTGGGGAAGATATTTTTGGGACAAAGTCTTGGTTCTGTGTCTTTGAGAACCCTACCACAAATATTATACCTTTAATTCTACTTCCAAAACTACATACTAGATGTTCATCTAAACCTCATGCAGTTTCCAAACAAACCATTTCCATGTGCTCCTATGTGTATAATACACTTAAGATGTCCAGAACAGAGGCTGAACTGGGCCTGGGAATTGGTCCTCTGAATTTCTTCATTTTACTTTTCCCTCCTGAGCACATACATTCATTCTAAGAACCATATAGCCACTCACCATAAGTGAGCAGAAGATGAAAAGGGCAAAGAGCTTCACATATAAAGGCCCAGGAAGGAGAGTGGCTATGATATTTGCACTGAAATGACTTCACGGAGTGATACACCACTGAGAATTTCCAAGCAACAAATGAAAAGATCCAGAGAAAAATGAAATGGAAGAGTGCAGCTTACCCCTCAAAGCAGTGGGCGACTGTCAGAACCCACTTCGTGGAAATGAGGACACAGCCACAGATGTGTCCACTGGGCTCACTCTGCAGAGAGCATTGCCAGGGCCACTTCCCCAGGGCGACTAGTCCGACCCCCGAGGACCCTCTTGTTCATTCTTACAGCAGGGCGGCGACCACAGTCTAACAAGGAGCAGAAATCACAGACCATGATTCATCACCAAACCCAAGTAGATTCTGAGCTCTGGTTGTCATGCATAAATGATCCTGTTTCCCACAGTTAAATTAATATCATGTCCCATGATATACCACCAATCTTACCTTGCTTAGTACACAGAAGGGAAATCTTATTTCTGCTTGGACAGGACTGCCTAGGTTTGGAAACATAAAACATTATATTAAGTTGGATGCTTACTGTTTACCTGAAGCATGTTATCAAAGTCAGGCAACACAGGGTCCACTATCAGGAGAGTGTTATACTCTCTGAGCACAGTTGTCTTCCTGCAAGGCTTCTCAGGGAACAGGTATAGTCAAAGCCTTCAGTGGGAGAATGCACACTATTTGTTTATTTGATATCATAACAAGGTGTCACATTTGTGGAAAGAGAAATTCTTATCACAAAGCTTCTTTTACATCATCATATTTGATAGTTAGAATCTATGGTGAGAGATGAGCATATCAGATATATACCCCTGTCCCCCGGGGGGGGGGAACCCTGAGATACAGGTTGAGAGGAATAAAATATTGCTTTATGTTTTTAAATAGAAGATAAAGGAATAGGACACTTAGGCTAGAAAAATGTATTTACCAGACTGCCAAGGTTAAACTGTGGAAGAGCTGACAGAAAAAGGGAGCTTGCATGTATTCTATATAATCCCAAGGGGCGTAGCATGCATTTGTATGTATTTGTGTTTATACATGTGTGCTTATGTATGTAGAAGCTAGTGGCCATTTTTGGTTGATAACTTCCTTAGTCATTCACTACATCTTTTAGGCAGATCTATTATTGAACTTAGAGCTCACTGATTTGGCTAGAGTATCTACCCAGCAAGCCTCAGGATTCTCCCTGTATTGAGATTATGCATGCTTCCAAGTCTTTTTAGCATTAATGCGGGGTCCAAATTCAGGTCTTCATGTTTAGACAGCAGGCACTTTATCAACTGAGCTGTCTCTCTAAGTCTTGTACCCTTGATATCTGAAATGATGTTAGACACTGCATTCAAATCTTGGACTGTACTCAGTTGATATATGTTCCTTGGGATCAAATCTTCCTGTCCTTTCATTTATGTCTATAACCTTTCTGAGCCTAGTCCTGGTTATAGTGTAAAAAATGACAGTCAAAATTAGTTGTGAATAATTATATTTTTTAAATTACAGCTTTTTGATACAGACTAATAAAGATTACCCACCCCACTCCTTGTAGCAAACTTGTTACATAAGATCTCATTTAGTTAATAAGCCAGGTTTACAAACCCCCAAAGTGAATAGTTATTTATTCATTTATTTGATCTGAGGGGCTTTTTCCATACCCAGTTTAAAGGAACATCATTGTGTTGAAATATTTAAGGCATTGGTTTGAAGAAAGTATTTAATTTGACAAAGTATTAAGAAATCTGAGGGTTAAATTTGACCAATGAAAAAAATTCTTCTCAAGCGTGAAAAGCCACCTTTAATTTACTTCTTTGGGGTTCCTAAGATGTGATGTACCTAGCACTTATGTTTTGTAGTCAGGTAAGTTAAATTGAGTTCACCATCACTTACACTATGTAGGTTGTGACCTTTGACATAGTGATTTAAATACCCTTAAATCTACCCCTTAGTTTCCTCAGCTGTTAAATTAAGACAATTATAATTCAGGAGTTTATTGTAAGGAATTAATGAGTCAATAATCTAGATAAGACAACCTGACTAGTACCTGCAATGTAGTAAGTATCTAATAAGAATTTATTCCTTGGGAATATAGCTCAGTGGAAGAGTAATTGCCTGGCATGTATGAAGCCTTAGCTTTGAGCCCCAGCCCCCCCAAATGCTCTTATTAAAAATCAAACTAAACCTTTTTAAACAGTGGAGGCTGGAGAGATGGCTCAGTAGTTAAGATCATGTAGAACTCTTGCAGAGGACCTGAGTTCTGTACTTAGAATTCACATCATGAGGCCTGTCACTCAGAGTTCCAGGAATCTGACACCTACTGGCCTCATGAGTGAGCACCTGCCCTTATATACATGTACTCTCACACACCCAGCTACATGAATGAAAACAAATCTTTTTTAAAAGAATGCACGTACTTTTACTTACTTTCCTCCTGCAGCCTCAATAATCAAAGGAGACAAACTTATTTAATATATCATCAGTTAAGAGGGGAAGACTTTCAAGGCTTCATGACTTTAGTTTTACCTAGTGTTTATTATTTTCTCAAACTCTAACTTTTTAATATCTTTACTTAATTTCTCCTGTTAACTAGTCCAACACAGTATCTGTAGGTAATGCAGTTTGTGAGAGTTCATTTCAAAACAAGACATTATGAGGCTTAAGACTAGATCTCCGTAGTTCCGATTAAATATGAAATTTGTCAAAATGAATCCTATCTAGGAAGAGAAAATAAATGTTGAAATGTGAAGATTAACAAACGTTTTGTGAAAGTTATTAGTGTTTTCTTGTGAAACATGGAGGAAATGCCCTTAATCAGCCTTTGTTCCATAATGTGCACACACATGGTTGCTATGAAGCTGTTCTTACCTGTGCACCAGCAGCTTCTGCAAGGTGGTCCCATTGAGATTCTCCCAGTTGGAGTGCAACCTCAGCCAGTGCTGGCCTTCCTGTTCTTGTGTCCATTCAGTCACAGATTGTTCTCTGATACAAGACAAATGCTGGTTAAATATTCAAAGCATAATGATATTTTTACTGGCATTATCATTATTTAGTTCTCATTTGCTTCCAAGTATATAATATATTATAAATCAATATTTCAAGAAAAGAAATTCATTCAGGAGAATTTGGAATGGAGCATGATTAGCAAATGGGGAGGGAATTAGTAAAAGTATGCATAGGCAATAACAAACCAAATTACTGCAGCTACTTTAAGTCATTTTCTCTGTTGACATTTTGAACACCATGGGGTATTGATATTCTAATGTCTAAAAGTTAAAACTTCCAAAACAGCAGAAATCAAAAGTAAACAATGAAGTTATCTTTTTCTTCTTCTTCATTATCATCCTGAAATATAACAAGGCCCCGAAATATAGAGAATCAAAGGCCAATTACTATTTAAATACTTTAAAATTGTATGTGGGCTGGGCAGTGGAGATGCACATCTTTAGTCTCAGCATTTATAGGATAGAGGCCAGCAGATCTCTGAGTTCCAGGCCAGCCTGGTCTACAAAGTGAGTTCCAGGAAAATGAAGGCTACACAGAATAACTCTGTTTCAAAAAACCAAAAACAATTACAAGTGTATTTTCCTCAATATATCACAAAACTTTATGCACTGAAAATTAAGAAGGACTCAGTAAATATATTAGTGTAATTTTGTCATGTTCTTTATATTCTCTCTCAGCTTTTACTGACACTTTCCAGTGACTGTATTATTCAGTTACACTGATTAAGATGCTCCCACTGTTTTTTGGTTTTTTGTTTGTTTGTTTGTTTTTGTTTTTATTTTATGTTTAAAACCTTAGGTTTCAAAGAATTTAGTTTTTATACAAAAATTTAGTTTTATGCAAAATCCTTGTTGATTTAGTTGGTTTTCCCCTTAGGTGATTCATATATAAAGGACAAGGCCCATTAGTTGCTTTGGGAAAAGGCCCACAAAGTACTACACAGTGTGTGCTTTATCATCCACTCACAAGCTTCAAACAAACAAACAAAAAAGCAATTAGCTTTCACGTGTTTTATCAAATTGGAATCTTGAGAAACCCACCATTGGGGAGAATAGAATTTTATTATAAAAATTAGTTGTCCATGCATTCTGAAACACTGGGATGTTTCTTATGCACAAAACTAAATCTTTCAACACTGGTAATGCTGCCTATGGCTTGTTACAAAGCAAACTCAGTGGATCCATAGGGCTCACAACTAAACTCAGTGGATCCACAGGGCTCACTCCTAAGCACAGTGAATGCACAGGGCTCACAACTAAACACAGTGGATCCACAGGGCTCACTACTAACCACAGTGATTGCACAGGGACTACTAAACTGAGTCAGGGAATCAATCCACTGAGGATCTATCAGACAGAGTTTGAGCATCATGGTTTCAAGTTTTTTTTCCAAATATATTAAAATAGCCTGTTAGTAAAAGGTGGCATGTTTAAGGTATGCAGTGTGATGCATGTATGCACATCTTCATCATGAAATGGTTTCCACACACTTTTGTTGTTAAAGTGAATAATCCTAATGAACTTCCAGAAAACAGGACATAACATGGTAAAGTCATCAGACTATTCATTAGATCTGATCACTTATTCATCTATTCAAGTGACAATTGTTTCATCTTGTCCCCTACTGTCTGGTGACTGTCATTCATTCTACTGTTCTACTGTCCTTGTGTAGGAGATAACTCTTTTAGATTTACAGATAAGTGGGTGGAACTAGAAAATACTATACTGAGTGGAGTAGCCCAGACACAGAAAAACAAACATTCATGTTCTCTCTCATCTGCAGTTCCTAGCTCCAAATCTTGAGACATGAGTATATAACCTGGGTGACTGCAGAAACAATGAAGGAAAAAAGGGGAACATGGGGGAATCAATAAGCAGGAGAATAGAAAGATATAAGTGATTTTGAAGAGGGATTTGGGTAAGACAGGGTGTAAATTGGGATAGGGAAATAGAGAGGTCAACACAGAAGGAAAGGGAGGTAGGAGGAAGGGTAACACTAAGGAGGTCTGAAACCACCATAAAGAATCTTATTACTATTTGTTTACCCATATAACATACAACATATATAAATCTATGTATATACATGTACATGTAAATATGCATATATTTACATAAATAGCTCAAATGAAATTATCCTACTTGCACTGACCATACTGCCCTGCAAGGGCCCTAAACTATCCAATAAAAACCTCCATACAAAGCATGAGGAACTCCCTTTCAAATTGTTGGTCAGGGTTGTCCTGAAATAATATAGGCTATTTTTGTTGTCCTTGGTTCCTCCCAGAGGTTGAAAATAAATCCTTTTGCTGAAGACACCATGAACTTCAAATACAGGACATGGAGGATCTGAGTGGTTCTGAGCTGAAAGCCTCCTCTTTAAGGACTAGTGACGAAAGTTCTGAAGGAGTGAAGCAACTAAGACCTAGCCAGCTGCACCTATAAGCCAAAACAATGACCAGAGTGGCACCTCAACTTTAAGGGACCAATAGTAGCATTTATGTCTTGATGGAAACCAGAAGCTCTCTGGTTGGACTAAGACCCACTCAACAGGAGGGAAATTGTACCTGGGACTGGAAATCCAGTCAATCACCTGGGGCTAGGGAAGAAGCCATGGATCTTAGAGTAGATTGTACTTCTATCACTCTAAGCTAGCATAATTCTTAACTGCATTCTAAATACCTGCCCTTATGCCCACCCACAGGCAAGTGTTGCTCTCACCCTCATCAAAGGAACTTCTTTTACAGCCAATGGAGGTCATTATACAAAGACACAACTAATCAAAGTACAGAGAATGAGTGATTCCTGAGGTGCCCAGCCACAAGTGATAAATCTATAACACGATTCCTGCATCTAAGTTGGGGAAGGGGCATAAAGAATGTAAGAGTCACAGGACCAAAAAAGCTGCTGTGAGATTGTGTCTCCTAGAAACAACAGAGAGGCTTCACATGTGATCCCTCAACAACATGGCTGCCTAAACTAGACCTGAAGAAGCACACCACCAAAAGAAAGCCAGCCATCACAGAAGAGGGAAATCTCATGGGGCCCACCTCCAGACAAAGAATTACAGGCAACAAGGAATGCTGAGAACGGAAAAATAGTCCTCCCTGGGGATGAGCCCCACAATCAGTGGTCCAACAGCAGGAGGTCATCCCTCAAATTATATGCATACAAGTAACACTGAAGAAACTTAGCAGGTTGTATTTATGTATTTAGGCACACATGCACACATACATAGGCTTAAATGTTTAAAAACCAAAGAAAAAAAGAAGCCATGGTTTTGAGAAAGAGCAAGGCAGGGTATGGGAGGGGTTGGAGGAAGGAAATGTAAGGGGATAATAATATAATTATATTTTTATTTGAAAATAAAAAATTATTAAATTAATACGTTAGTATATGTGGAAAATAGATAGCACAAAAAAAATTTCTTTCCATTTCAGATACGTAGAGACAAAATTTAAATGGCCTTTGAGCATCCGGGTCAACTCTTCAGTATATGTACATCATATATCACCCTCTCCTTTCAGTCTCAATGTATTTTCTGTGTTGTTGATTTGCTCATGTGTAAGAACTATTGCAAATATTAAATGACCAACTTGTTTTATCAAGCACTTTATAGCTTTATCATTACTTTCCATTTTTAAGATGAAAAATTGAAAGAAAAAAAATGAGTAAGTAATTGGCCCATAGTCACCAGTAAGCAGATGGCAGAACTGGTAACTGAATCCCCAGGGTTGACACCTGAGTCTACCTCTTACACAGAGAAAAATCACATGGCCCTCTTCACTCACAGAACATACAATATTCTTTTGAAACTGCACACTGATATGGTGTGTGTGTGTTTCATATATTTACTCAATCATGTTAGTCTTCATATATAGCAATGGTGGTTCTAATTATTTTTTTAATATTTTAATAGAATATCAGCAGTTCCCCCATAATGACATTGATGACTACATTAATTGCCATACTAGAGCTTTCATCCAGTAACTAATGGAAGCAGAAGCCGACACCCACAGATAAGCACTGAGCTGTATTCCAGTTGTAGAGAGGGAGGAGGGAGGAGCAAAGAAGTCAAAACTGTACTGGAGAAACCCACAGAAACAGCTGACCTGACCTAATGAGAGCACAGGGACCCCAGTCATAAAGCAGGGGAACCAGTATTGAACAGAACCAAGCTCTTTGAATGTGGGTGCAAGTTAGGAGGCCTGGGCAGTCTATGGGACCTCTAACAGTGGAACTAGACTGTATCCCTAGTGCACAAATGGACTTTGGGAGCACATTCTCTATGGAGAGATACTATTTCATCCCAGATACACGGAAGAGGGCCTAGGCCCTCCCCCAAATGATGTGACAGACTTTGATAATCTCCCATGGATGGCCTCACTGTCCTTGGGGAGTGGGTGGGGGGGAGTTGGGGGACTTGGGGAGGGAGATGGGAGGGAGAGGGAATGGGGGGTGGATTGATATGTAAAATAACATTGTTTCTAAATTTAAAAAAAAACTTTGTTTTTAAAAAAAGAATATCAGCAGTTACCATCTGAAATATTTTGTTTTACCTTTGCCTCTAGGCACAAGAATGGTTTGACTATAAATTCAGGAAAAACAGAATCACTGAACATTTTAAATATATGGTTAATAGTATGAGTTCTTTCCAAACAGTAACTCTAATATATTCTTATGTATCAAGAATATGTATGTCTGAATGCTACTTGAAACCTTAATCAGACAAGTGTCTCTCTGCAATAAACAACAGGAAATACAGAGACTCACGGCTGTTCTAGGTTCTGAGAATAAGTGTCTGTTGAATGGTCAGCTCTATACTGGCCCTGAGTGTCTGAGGGTCCAGTCTGAACCCACTGGAGGAAGAGAAATACGGAGGAAGTGAAGGTTGCATCTGAACACTTCTGACATTATTCCTTAAACCACGAGTATTTATACAGGACTTACACAGGCAAACAAGGTATTATTAATAATCTA